GGGAAAGAGAATTTTAAATGAAGCTTTGCTCTGTGTTATCAATGACACTCCCTGACAATTTCTTAAGAGAATGTAATAAGGGTTTAAATCAGTTTTTAATTATTTCTAAATGCCATTTTTTCTTTTATTCCACAAATATATATTGATAGAGTCAATTTCTTGAGACTATTTACATTGGTAGCCTCTGTAGAGACAGGCCTTATGGGGGAAGCAACAAAGCTCAGCTTTCTATACGTTACAACAAAAACACAAATCCAGAAGAGGAAAACTATATTCCGATACTGCTCCTTGTTCTATGAGAACATCAACAGTTAAATTGGCTTTTACGGCATGGCCTGCAAGCCTATTATGTATGATATCGAAAATGTGTGTGGAGTTGCCGTCAACCACCAGATGAACTTGAGCTCAACTGTTCAAATCAGAGACTTCCTGTTCATTAGGCAACCTTTTTCCCATAGCTAGTCATGATGCTATTCAATTCTCTTCTAAAGGTTAAAGTAAAGCATTACCAGCCCCCGTGAATTTCTCATGGGTTATGATGAAGTGCAACCAAATTCTATGTACTGTTAGACTGAGAAATGTCTTCAACCTAGATGCAATGACAGGAAAATAATATATGCACTGGCCAACAATAGCCCAAGGCTACTTCCATTATGAAATTCGTCTTTGTTTCAAGAAAAACATAAAAAAAACCCATGATAGTTCCCTAGATAATGACTTACACAAAACATTCTCCATAATTAACAATGGCATTTGTCTTATACCTGGTGCCAGGGATGGAAGCCTGTGGGTGACTGAAGCCAGCACAGCAACAGAGGTCTCTTGTAAAAACAGAACACTGTACAGCTCATTCTTGAAGATCTTCCAGGGGAAACTAGATGATGAGTGTGTTGATGTCTTTTAAAAATAATCTGTTAAATGCTTTTCGATCCTGTGCCCTGATTACTGGCTGACCTACATAATTCTGGCAATGCGAGTGCCCTAGAGGGCTTGATGATTTGACAAGCAGTTAAGGTCCTCAGTTAAGAGGAATTTTGAAAAAGCCAAGATAAGCAGGCTAATTTCCTTAAAAAGGATTTTCTTCTGATCTTTTAAATGTTAAAGAGGCCACGTCAGTGGATTATTTTGAGCAAGGAAAGTTCTGCTTTAAAAAAGACTGTCACTGAAAACAATTAATCCCCCAGCCAGTCACACACTCCAGATGAAGTGCACGTCCCAGGCGAGAAGCACTGACTCTCTGCCTCTCTGGGTGAGAAGGCAAACTAGCTTGGTAGATTAGATGTCCTCTGTAAATTACTGTCTATTACTAATGAAGATGGTTGTTGTAAAGATCCAAAAGGACAATGTCTAGAACACGCCTAGCATGGCACCTGATATTATCATCATCATCACAGTAGAAACACATTCTGCCCATGCTCAGATCAGGTGCATTAAGAAGAAATGTAATCTCCAAGGCTTGTCTGCACTCCCACGCTTACTGAAGCACTATTCACAATAGTCAAGTTGTGGAAACACCCTCAATGTCTGCCAATGGATGAATGGATAAAGAAAACATCACACACACACACACACACACACACACATAAACACTGGAATATTATTTAGCCTTTAAAATAAAGGAAACCCTGTCATATTTGACAACATGGATAAACCTGAAGGACTTCATGTTAAGTGAAATAAGCCAGTAACAGAAAGACAAATACTACATTGTTCCCCTTACTTGAGGTATCTGAAATAGTCAAACCCATAAAATTGAAAAGTGGATTTGTGGTTGCCGGGAGCTGAAGGGGAGAGGGAAACGGGAAGTTGCTGAACAATGGGAACAGTTTCAGTTAAGCAAGATGAAAAAACTCTAGAGATCTGTACAATATTATACCTACAGTCAACACAAGAGCATTGTACACTTAAAAATTTCCTAAGAGGGCAGATCTCATGTGACATGTCTTACTATAATAGAACTAAATTAAATTAAGACAATTTAAATAAATTTTTGCAGGCTCATTTTTGGGGCAGAATATCTCTAAAACCTCAAAAGTATTATAATGTAATATTATATACTTGAAATTTTATGTTTGCTTGTAATAAAATGTTTCAAACATTATTTTGTTAGCAACAGACCAATACGAAGGGGAGGGGGACCTCTTAAATACTGATTATTTCTAAGAGGCTCAGTTTGTTCACTGGACTTCTTTGGCAGACACACAATTGCCACATTAAAGACCTAAAAGGAGCTTTAGGTATTGCTTTAAAAACAAGGAAACTAAGATCCGAAGAGATTAAGGGAATGCCAGCACTAGTATAAGAAAGGGATGCTTACACAACGCTCCTTGCACTAACCTGATCTATTAGTACACTGAAATGATGCAAGTCATCCTTGGATGGCACGATCATACAAATGAGGGGACATATGCCAAATCAATACTACTGGCCAGCCGTTTCACATAATTTACTGCCTTTAATCCTCACACAAAAAATTTGCAACATAGGGATTGTTAGCATTACTTTTAAGGTAAGGCAACCGAACCCAATAAAGGCCATGGGACTAGTAGGAGGCCAGCTAGGACTGAGATTCAGGTCTCACCTGACTACCAGCTCTTTTCAACATGCCTCGCTGCATCCTGGGAGGTGACATGAGTCTTGCCACATTCCTGCTAATGAAAAAAATCACTTTTGCTAATTTTCTGGCTGTTTCGCAGAAGCTGTTGATATCAGGGGAAAACGGTTCCAAAATCACATACCTGTGGTAGAGTCGATGGTAAAAAGGGATGCCAGGTCGCCAGGGAGGAGCTCGTAAGCCACTGTTCCATATATCCCAGAATCCCTGTCAGTGGCAAAAACATTGATGATCTCAGTTCCCGACTGGGTCTGGCCACTGATGCTCGTCACATAGGTGGATGGGTTAAACACGGGTTCATTATCATTCACGTCCTCCACTTCCACACGAACAAAAGCTTGGGCACTCAGTCCGCCCTGTCGGATGAAGAAGTGATTACAGTGGATCCCTCCTGAACACTGGGATACAGAGAACTGACAAAGGTCCTAGAATAGGCTTTCGAAACAAATATATATATATATATATATATATATATATATATACATATACAAATGCATACTTCAGTGCCGATTCTTAAATGTGAATGAGATTACCACTTAAAGCTCCTAGTGCAATAATTTCCATATTCAAAGAAGGTTGTTGTGATGTCCAAAGAGAAAAAAAAATCACTTTTACTCTCAGGATAACTTTTAACTGCTAAGGAGAAGGAGTAAGGGAGGATGCAATTTTAGAAAAGGTCATTGGTGAAAGCCTCACTAAGAAGGTGCCATTTGAGTCAAGACTGATCTACATGAGGGAGTTCAGATATGGAGGAAAAACATCACAGAAAAAGGAAAAGGCAAGTGCACATGCCCTGAGGCAGGAGTGCAGAGCGCATCCCAGACCTGTTCAGGGAACAGCAAGGAGTGATGTCAGAGGGGCAGATGCAGGTCATGGAGGACTCTGTGGGCCCCTGAAAGAACCATGGCCCTGACCCGATGGAGAGCTTTGAGCAGAAGAGTGTCTTCATTTAACTTGGATTTTTGACTGTTACTCTGGCTGCAGTGCTCAGAACAGGCGGAAGAGCCACAAGGGTGGGAAGAGGGAAGCCCGTTAGGAGGCTATTTAGAACCACCAGGTCTGGAGTGGATGGTGGCAGTGAAGGTTCTTCCCCTAAAGACTTGGGACCAGGTTGGTTTTGGAATTCTGAATTTTTCAAGTTTTAGAAAAGTAGTAGAGTGCACAAAATAGTGAGAAATCAGTCCCATCCTGTTTATTTTGTGTCATCTCCATCTCAAAACAAGGAGAAGGGGAGAGAATACAATAGAAGAAAAATAACCTTCTGCAGTTTTTACTGTTTTAAAGTAAAACATATGTTCCTACTTTAAAGCACCATTTTCTATTTGTATCTTGTATATTCTGAGACTTTCATCTTTGACAAAAATCCTTGGTAAGTCACACAGCCTGGGTTTTCTCACTCACTTATCCTCCCCCTTGTCTGGCTGTCTCTCGCTTTAAAAAAAAAAAATCTTTTTTTCTTTTTTTCTACTATGATTGGGAGGCACTGAGCAAGGAGGGAAAAGAAAGACGGTGGAGGAGTTTGGCAGGAGACAAGGGAAGACGGCTGCTGTGCAGGTCTGGAGTAAGCACATGTGAGTGAGGGAGAGCGAGAAAGAAGACTGTTTGGGATGAAGTTACTGGCGAATCCGGAAATGGCTCTCACGCTCTGAGGGCCCATACACTCAGCCTTGGGGACTAAAAAAGGATTAGGAAATATGTCTTTGGAAATAGTGCAATTTTCCTTGTTCTGCCTTGAATAAAGGGCCAGAGTCAGGCCAGCTACAAATTAAAACAGGCGAAATAAAAATAATTCAACTTCCATCTAGCCTTATGTTTACTTAAAATGCAGATTGGCTCTCTATCTTCAGCAAACCTAAATGACACGCAGGTCCCCAGGTGGACTGGAATAAGAGGGGACTGTAGACCGATGATAAGCAGACAGAAAATACTGTATACCATCAGAAACAGACCACACTGGTTCTCCAAACTGTGTTCCTTCTCAGCTTTGCTCTCCTTTTATTTTTCCTTTCCCCTTCTTTTTATACTTCTCTTCAAGTTCAAGAAGTCACTTAGGTCTGAGGAGAGACTGAGAAAGCAAGTAAGAGAAGTGGTGAGAAAGTGGGGCAAGGTGGAAAGAAATGAATGTCGCTCTACCTTAACATCTTGGGAGCAAAGATGTTAATTCCTAGGCCGTCCTAAATTAGGCAATGCAATCAACAGCAGACAAAATGTCACGTGGACAGTGAGAAGCCTATCATCACAGAACAATGAATCTTTTCTCAGGAAAAATATTATAGGTCTCAGTCTTCCTTTTTTATGAATTCAATTTTTATCTGCTGAATTCACTAAATGGGAGTACTTTCCTCTTATAGTAACCATTTGTGAATGTGTGTTAAGTGTGCTTTACATATATTTTCTCCTCCAGTTGTTACACTCTCCCTTGTTCAGACTTTCATGGTTTCCCTCATTTTAACAAATAAGAAAGCCAAAGGTAAATGAGGCTGCCAATAGCAGGTCTGAAGCTGGAACAGAGATTCATCTGTCCCTAAAGTCCCTGGTGATGTCTTCTAATTTAGACTTCTTTACGTAGTGCTATGGTATCAACTCTACCTTTCATGAAAGACTGTGCTAGGGGCAACGCCAACCACAGGTTCAGTTAGGAGTGAGTTTACAAGGGACTTACAATATATGAGGCTGACACTATACTGCTGGGGTGTGGTGCAGTGGAGTAACCTGGAGCCAAAAGATCTGGATCTAATGTCTGGCCCTGCCCACATCTGGGGCCACAGCCTTGAGAAAGTCAGAGTCCCTGAGTCTGAGCTACCTGCTCAGTTGCAGGCCTGTTGTTGGAAGGAGAGATAAAACATGTATGAAAACATTTATAATGATTAATCATCATGAGTTAGAAGATTTTATAGGCTCTTTATCCTAAATACTTAGGGCCAAATAGATCTGTCTTGAAATTTGGAATTTTTCAAGTTTTGTAAAGGTAACATTGAGGTCTGGAGTGGTGCCCCATAATCAAGCACTTACTACTCTGCAGCAAAATGTATAAAGAGACACATTTAGAGGGTTTTAAAAAAACATAAAGAGCCTCATGTCAGTTCAGTTCAGGCTTCTCACCAAATGAGGTTTCAAAACCTTCAATTGTGAGAACTTCGGGGCTTCAGAAGTCCAGATAGAGTGTTGTGGATCTTTATTATACAGAAGCTGACATGAGTTATGAGCAGTGAACTGAGGAACTCTCAGTACCGAAGGAATCCATGAGATAGGTCCTCAAAAGCAAATAGGATCTTAGATCTCCAGTTGGTGTGCAGTTCCAAATGTCTGGAGGAGCCCCTTTTAACTAGAGCATGTGGACCCTGGAGTTTGGCTGCCAAGTGAGTCACGAGGAGGATTTGTTACGTTCCCTTCTAACAAGGTTCAAGGTCACTCTTTGTTCTCAGTGACTCCAAATCAGAAGAGTGGGAGAAAACTGGAAATGTTGCTTTGGAGAGTTATATCCAAATATTTGAGGAAACTAGAAGAATTCAGGATCCGATCAAGTTTACAGGTAGATAACAAAAACCTGAAAGACAGTGAACAGGACTAGAACCTGATGCTTAAGCTATAGCCGACCAAATAAATCCCTTGCTTTGCTTCCATCTCTTCTCTATAAAATTATTTCCCTGGCTCCTGTCAGTGGGGGCATACCTAGTCATTCCTGGTTGGGCACTGCCCAATTCAAATCATTTTTTTTTTGCTCAAATGAACTCTTACATTTTTAAATAGCATTTTAAAAACAGGCATTTCAGGTGAAAATAACATCCCAGAAAATGTAATGATTTTTTTTTTAAAAAGTCTCTGACACGTTGTGGGAGGGGTAAGCACACTAATATAGCCAGAAGGGAATGGCCATATATAGAGGGAGACAGTGGGCAAAATGGAAAGAAAAGCCTTGATGGTCAGATTCACAGAACTTGATTTAAATGCTAAGGAGGATAGACTTTATTCTGCACACCAGTGGATTCNCAGGTGGCAGGATGGCTCAGCTAAAAAAAAAAAAAAAAATAGAAACAGTGACTTTCATAATCAAACCTCCTACAAAAGATGGGATATTCTTAACCAACGTGGTAATTCATAGACAGAAAATAGTCTGTAAGTCATTACTAAATTGTAAGCTATGGTGTAGTTAAGAACAAAAACAAGCACAAAATCATGACCTTCCCCAAACATGGAGTCTATAAGTGTGGTTTTCTCAAAAACAGAGACAGACCAAAATCTGTTATCAATAACAATTTATTATCAGTTATTGATATCTATGGTATCTCTCCTATATTCAGTTTCTGGGAATACAGACACTTATTCATCAGAGAGACAACATTGTGCTGTTTATTTTGCACACAAATCTGGGTAACTAAGTTTCAGTGGCTGAAAAGAATACAACAGATTCAAAAGTCTTGACAACTAAATTATTGACAACTAAACAATTCTTAAGAATAATTTATTTACCAATTTTGAAAGATTCTACTCAATCATATTTATTCAATAGAAAAGAGTAAATAAATCAACAGATAATTTGGTAATTCAACTAGGGTTTTATAGTCACAATGGGAGATCATTTTTCTATCCTATTTAGTTGAAATCAATGGAACCTTTATTTATCTTAGCTTTGTCTTTAGTTTTTAAAAAAAGTCATAATAATAGAAAGAGCCTTAGAATGGAAGTTCAAGAAGTAAATTTGAATGGCAGGTTTACTATGTCCCTTATCAAGTCACTAAGACTCTTAGAGTCTTCATTCTCTTAATTTACAGATGGGCATAAACCATCTGCCTTGCTTATCCCATAAGTTGATATGAGGTTCAAATAGGCAATATACGGAAAAGATGTTGAAAAGTATTATCTGAGACAGAGCAGCACAGGGACAGATCACAGGTCTAGGACAAGGCTCAAGTTCAAGTCTCCAGTTTACCAACCATGTACCTTTAGTCAAGTCACCGAATCCCTTTCTGTCTCAATTTCTTCCTCCACTGAATGAAGGAGGCGAATTGTAAGGTTCCTTCCATCTCCAAGAGTCTGTGATCTTATACTGGAAAAACAAATGAGAAAACCCTCTAACATGCTTTTGTTTCCTATGAGAGTGACATACACTGATTAGGTGCTTGTGATTAACTGAAGTCTCTGTCTTGCAAATAAAAGAAAGAATTTGTTTTGGCGTGAGCAGTCTCACATCCGTTATGAAATGAGATGTGGTATTTATTATTAACTACATACCATAATGTTCTGAATGTAGGAAAGTGGCAATCATGAATAATTATGAGAATCATTAAATGGTATGAAATCTAAGCATAAAACTAATATTAGAAAAGAATCTGCCCTTGAAATAAAGAAAAACAGAGTCTGTGCTACATTACTTAAAATCCTTGTTAAAATCCACACACCCATACAAACAAAAGATTACAGCTCAATACAGAGGCATAGCTGCCCTTGTCAGACAGTTTAACTCACTCAGCTACCCTAGTTACTTG